CAGGTATTTGTACGCTTTACATCTTGCACGAGCCGTGTGTAAAAATATAAAACTACTAAGGAATATTTTTTTACTAATAAAATTTATATACTATTACACAAACTAGCATATTTAACTGGTAAAAATCAAATATAGTTATATAAGCTCAAATAAACACCAATTTTTTGTATACAGAATTTTTTTTTTGTATACGAGATAAGTTTTCTAAGTTCTGGGAGAAAATATACTTTTTCTTAGTCTAGTATTCCTTTTTAAAAAATTGATAACGGAAGGAAGGAACATTTCAATCTCTACCAAAATTATTCATATATTGACCTCCAGGGAGTTTAGGTACCCCAAAAGGGTTTTTCAGTGTGAAACTTTAGATACTGTTTTAAATGCTAATTCCAATCCTCTGAATACTTGTCTATTAGTTATCCAATATAGATATTTATATTGGATAATTATAATTATATAAAAAGATAAATCTTTATAATTAAAATGAATTTGTAATTTAATGTATGAATTAATATTTTATGAACTTATGGGACATATAATATATTCTTATGCAAGTAAATTAGCTGTAATAATATAGATGTTGTTGAAACTCGGTGGTTTAAATTAGTATTTCCAAAACACGGCTTACGGAAAATTTGGTTTTTACCGGATACAGCTTTGATTAGTCCGGTTACATTACGTTAGTATGCATTAACAAAAATAGTTACTCACAAGTAAATACTAATTTTTAAAAATATAAACTTAAATGAAAAGTAGAGAAACCGTCTCAAGTGGAAACGCGATAATGCAACCTTATAAATATAAACCTTAATAACGGCTCATAATCCCCACATCTTGTAAACACTCAATACCAACACAAAATTAATGAAATCAACGACGCATTTTTCTTAAATATTCTAAACTGATGTTTCTATAAACCATAGCATTCTGCGCCTTTAACTTTTTAACTTTTTTTTTAGAAATGATCAATGTTTTACTCCAACTCCACCTACTTTGCAAAAATATAAAACCCTATAATACTGATGCTGCGAGCCGTATATTTTTATAACAAATTTTTCCGTCGTTTTCACTTAGCTACAAACTATTTTCAAAAAAAATAAACAGGCAAAAGCAATTAATATATGTCAGTACATTAAAATTTAACTTTGACCTCTTATCACAAACAAATAACTTCTATTGTTGTTCAAAAATATATTTCGCTGGGATTTTTGTGAATCTACTAAACCACTATGTTAAAAATTTCAGAACCAAATTTTTCTATAAAAGCACTGATTAAAACATCAGGGTTTTTATTGATAACATTAAAGCATTATTCTGGATAACGTATAAACTAGGGGTGCACCAATATATTGGCCTTTCAATGCATCGACTATTTAATTGATGCATCGGCATGGGTCATGGTAACCATAGGCCAATGCCAATTGTTTTGAAAAATCAGTTTTATTATTTTTGTGTTTCTATATTGAAGTTTCTTTGCTCATTATTGATTTATTTCTTATTAATGTTTATTTCTAAGATTAATTCCTAGAATATGTTTGGAAGTATATATATATATATATATATATATATATATATATATATATATATATATATATATATATATATATATATATATATATATATATATATATAATTTAATTTTAACTCTACGGACTTATCACAGAGCACCACAGAAGAGCATTTAAAAAGAAGTTCACGCCTCTTTCCAGATCGATGTTATTAAACTTGCCCAAAAGAATCTCTAGTTTCAAATGCAATATTTTAATGCATATATGTATGTATATATATATATATATATATATATATATATATATATATATATATATATATATATATATATATATATATATATATATATATATATATATATATGTATATATATATATATATATATATATATATATATATATATATATATATATATATATATATATATATATATATATATATATATATATATATATATATATATATATTATATATAACAATATATTTTTTTATATATCGTTGGACTTTAATTAATATTAAATCAATAATTGTTTGAGTCTTTATAAATATAAAAAATGTATATTGATGAGCATTCTATTTTTTTTCAAATAATTATAAATATTCGTAAAAATATTATTCGAAGTGCTAATTATATTGGCTTTTTTTTTTTTTTTTTACATATATCTCCTAATCTAGAATATAATTATGGCTAAAATTAACAATCCACTGTATTATTTCAAACCTCCTTCAAAATTTCATTTACCTTTGATTAAAACTTTGTGCCTATTAACAAACTGTTTATAATTATTTAAGAATTTTTATTTAAATTGTTTAAATATTTGAAAAATTTGCGTAAAATTGAATAGAAAAATGATTATCTAGTTAACAGCAATATTTCAGCTATAAAACGATCAAATTGAATGGAAAATTTATTGATAATATAACATAATGTAAAATCATAGTTTATGAAAGAAAAAAACATTTTAATGAGAGAAACTGCAAAACATTTTAACACAACACATCCCACTTTTAGCAGAATAATCAGTCTATATTAAAGATACAATACAATTCAAAATCTTCTATGTCCTAGAAGACTCAGCATTTAAAAAAAAGAAATGAACGTTCACTTATTGGCATAGTGAAAAAAAAAGAAGATATTTATTATCAACTGATCTCAGCCGAAAAGTAAAAAAAGCTTCTGGTGTAGTTGCTAGTGTTCAAAAAATTAGAAGAGTACTACAAAAACACAATTACATCCGGCTGCGATAAACACAATTACATGCGAGCTGCTTGCGAAAAACTACGTCTATTGATAAAACATCAGAAAATAGAAAAAACTGTTGTTTAGCTCATAAAATTTGGTCTATGAGCATGTTGTACAATGATTTTTTCAAAGATGAAATAAACGTTAAAGTTGATTTAAGAAAAAAACAATTAATGCTGGGAAAAAAGCCACATTACAAAATGGACCTAAATTGTTCTACGAATAGAACAAAAGATGTTGGTGGTAGTATAGACATCTGGGCCTGCATGAACTATAAAGGTGTCAATCATTTCAAAATATTTGATGAAAGGCTTGATTCTCTAAGATATCTAGACAAATTGGACAATTATTTGATGCCTTCCATTGACCTTGTCTCAAAAGACATCGACAATATAGTGCTTCATGCTGCTAAGATTTGCAAACAATTGTTTGAAGAAACAACATTAAAACCATGTCTTGACATGCAAATAGCACAGATCTCAATTGCATAGAAAACTTGTGGTCTGTATTAAACCACAATGTTGTTCAAATTGAAATAAAACGATCTGAACCAGCTGAAAGAATTAGTAACAAAATTGTTAAATAATGATCCAAAAGAGATTACTCAGAATTTAGTGAACTCCCTACCGAATCATACCAATGAATGCTTAAAAATACCCTACCGAATCATACCAATGAATGCTTAAAAGCAAAAAGATTGGCAACAAAATATTAATTCTTTTTTGTTTTTATGTTTTGTAAGTATTTTTTTATCAACGTTTATTAATTTTTATTTTGCGGTTAGTTTATTTTGGCCACAATTTTTTTTTGATACAAGTGAGCACTTGTTTTAATTTCAATATTTATTTTCAATTTTCTCTAAATTTTTTTATTTTTTAAAATAACTAAACATACTAAAATAACATGATGCTAATGAATTTAATACTGTATTTATTAGGCCAATACTGTATATATCAGCGCTTATATATATATATATATATATATATATATATATATATATATATATATATATATATATATATATATATATATATATATATATATATACATATATATATATGTATATATATATATGTATATATATATATATATATATATATATATATATATATATATATATATATATATATATATATATATATATATATATATATATATATATATATATACAAATTTTGTATATATATATATATATATACAAAATTTATTTTTCAAAACCATGACTCATAGTTTTGAAAAAAAAACTTTTTTAAAAATTTTCTCAGACATCTCATAGTATGAGTTGTCTGAGAAAAGTCTGTTAAGAAGGCGGAACATAAACAAGTATATTATCATTTTTAAGTTGATAGTGGAGACACGTAGCCAAAGACCGAATTTTTTATCGTGTATATACCCACGTGTATTTATGGCCTAATAAACGCGGCAATTTCAAGAATTATTCAACAATGATGAATACGATGCAGAAGGACGTATTAGCTAATTTTGCGCAAATTATTTTTGTTCAACACTTCAACTTATTAATTAAAATCATTAACTAAAGTTTTTTGTTAAACTTAAATTCCTAAATGAAATTAAAAAAAATTATTATGCTAAGGATTTTTTATATCGTTAAATAGAATTGTATCTGGTCTTTGTTTCCTTTTTTTCTTAAGCCACCAATTCGCTGACCAATTTAATTATTATTTATATAAAATATTTTGATTACTAACGAATAACGGCTTCAAAAAAAAAAAAAGGATTCAATTACTAGAGAAAATAGCAGTTGGTTGAAATTAATACTATTCGATAGCTTGTTAAAAGTGTTCAGCTAAATTAATTTGAAGTGTTAAGCATATTTATGTGTTAAATAATCGTCATGAAACAGCTAAGAATCTATGGCCTTCGAGTGAGAAAATGTGGCCTCATTCAAATGTTTGGCAAAACTGTTTATTTCAATCAAGGCTTCTGCAAAAACATGTATCGCAAAACTAGTTTATTTCAATCAAGGCTTCTGCAAAAGCATCAAATTTTATATAAATAATTGTATTTATGTTTTAAGCAAAAAATTCACTACAAAATGAAAGATTTTCTTTTGTTTAATTTAAAAAATAAAAGAAGATAATTAGAGGAATTGATTACAAATATGGGTAGAGATAATCTAGATAAACAAATTGTCATTGCGATGAAATGCTTGGCATTCTCCTTTAGCTGTCTTTTTTGGGTAAGAATTTTTTTTTCTCAAATGAGTAGAAACATTTATTTTAAATAATGTGAATTAATAAATTTAGATGCAAGCTATGATGTTTTAATGATGTTAATGTGTAAACATGCTGATCATAAGGTTTGTTTAGGGTATGGTTTTCAATACCATTTTGCATATAAGACTTATCAAGTTTAATGCAAAGATAACATTTGTTACACATTAAACTTGTCAAATCTAATGTGAAACAAACATTATTGAAAACAATCAACAATACTTGCTTTTTTTAAGGCTTGGATATCTTTAATATCAACTTACTAAAGGGGGGTGTCTGAAATACACACTGGCCTATATTTGTAACATTTAGTTTTTTTTCAATTCTAAGTAAATTATAATTAATTAGTTTTATAATAAAAAATATTTAGAAAAGTTTAAAGATTTTAATCTACACATACCATGAAAAAAGCTCAAAAGCTTGTTAAAACAAGATTTAACTCACTTTTTAGGCAAGTGAATGCAAATGTGTATTGTCCATATTGACTATACAATCCCCCCCCCCCCCCCCTAAATGTTGTCTGATTACAGTTACAAATATGTGATTGACTTGTTTAATTGAGTTATCTCTAGTTCTAATGATTTTTAGCTTCTTCAAAGAACTTTTATTTGATATTGTAGTTAAATGTTTGTAAAATCAAACCAGTTTGTTTTTTTCCATTGTTTTAAATTTTTGTTGGAGTTTTTTTTAACAAAATATTAATAGCAAATATTTTTTTAAGAGTAAGAAAGTTTCAATGTAGGATCAAAAACTTATTCAAATCTAATCGACATCCACATCTTCTAGTTATCAAATCTATTCATTTGCACCAAAGACTGTAATTAATTGATAAGGTATGATCTTTTCTTTCCTCAATCCATACTGTGATTCAACTTGATTTGTTTCTACTTGGGTTTGTTTCCAGGCTATGATTTTATAACAACTTGATTTGTTTCAAGCTAATTAAGTAAAGAATCTTTTTCTAGTAATTTAAAATTCACAGATTTTTCATTTTCCACATTTTACTGACTATTGCTTTTTTATAATGGAATGACATTGAGAAGATAACAAATAAGAAGATAACAAAGATATCAGAGCACACACAAAAAGTAGTAATATAATAATAAACTCAGCCTCTTTGACTGCAGTGGCCTCCTTTGTCTTGGTAAGGTGAATGAATTGAAAAAAATAAATTAAAAATCTGCTCTAGTTGATTTTTGTAATCTAAGACAATCATGCTTGCTTTTAATGTCATTTACTGTAATGTCTAGCCACTAATTCTTACTATATTAAGTCTGATAAAAATACCACCAGTTTATATTATGTTGTCAAAACATATTTAAAAACATATTTCAGATTTTTAATTATTTTAAACATATTTAGAAACTAGAGAATAAAACAGCAATACTCGAAGAAAAGAACTGAAGACTTTACAAAATAGAAAATCTAAATAAAAGAAGCTAAAAAAAATATATAATATTAAAAATATTTCTTGTTGAAAACGTTAAAAAAAGGATGTAATTCTTATTATATAGGCAAAACCTCTCGCCACCTTAAAAAAAATGATTAAACACTACAGGAGAGACAAAAACCCACACATATACAAAAGTCTCAGAGCTAATAAAAATTGTTTTAATAATTATACTAATGACTGTTTCTCGATGATGGATTCTGCCTCCAATAAATTTGAGCTTAAGATTACTAAAAGTTTGTTCATTGAATAGAAAAATCCAGATATGAACAAACAATTAAACAAATAAATCATTTAAACAATAAAACAAATATTAACATTTTTCACATAAAAGTTACCATTTTATTAGTTGTTAACCTTCGGTTAAACAATTTAATAACTTTTTTATTGTATATATTTTTTTGCTATTGTCTATTTGAACACAATTGTTAAAAAAAAAAATTATATTTTATTACTTTATAATATTTGTATATAAAATTTATTAAGTTTTTTTAACCCAACTGAAGATGACTATAAAATAGTTGAAACATGTATTGTAACTTTATTTGCTAATAAAAAAAACAAGTTCTTATTAATAAGTGGAAAAAATTAATCAATAATCAAATTCCAAAGAACTGATGTTCGAGGAAAAAAACTAGACAAATAAGAGTTTTTGGAGCATTTAGGAACAGTCACAGAAAAAGGATGAGATTTAATTAAATGATGAGTACACAAGAATGAATTTTAGTAGATGGCACAAGAGACACTAGCTCTTTAGAGCAGTATTATAGTATTTGTAGAAAAGAGAAAGAGAAGCAACATTAGGACAATGTGATAATGGTTAAAGATTTACTGCAAGAACAAGTCAAACTATGTTTACAATACGTTTTTGTACCTTGTCTAAAAGAGAAATGACATCATTAGAAGATCCAGCCCTGATATGGCAACAGTATTCTATACAAGGCTGAATTTGAAATTAATAGTCATAGAGAATAGAATCCAGAGTAAGAAAGTGGCGATAAAGAGATGCAATTCCATACAAGTCCGAATTTGAGATTTATAGTCATAGAGAACAGAATCTAGAGTAAGAAAGTGGCGATAAAGAGATGGAAACGCCATTGATGGAACTTTAGCAGATGCTAATTTTGCAACGGATTTTATATGTTTTTTTTTTTTTTTTTAAATTATCTTCGCTTCCAACAAGGCTGCAAGCAACCACTAATTAGTGTTGGAAGTTACTGGAAAAGAAAAGATGAAGATTGTAGAGCAAGATAACGATTGACAGACAACTTTAAAGATTGCAAATTATATGAATCAGGAAAGCAAGATGAAGGAAGTGAATTCCAAAGAACTGATGTTCGAGGAAAAAAACTAGACGAATAAGAGTTTTTGGAGCACTTAGGAACAGTAACAGAAAAAGGATGAGACTTAATTAAATGACGAGTAACACGAGAATGAATTTTAGTAGATGGCACAAGAGCGGCTTGCTCTTTAGAGCAGTGCCCATTATAATATTTGTAGAAAAGAGAAAGAGAAGCAACATTACGACGATTTGACAGAGGTTGAAGGTTGGCTGCAAGTGCAGGTCCGACTATGTTTACAATGCATTTTTGCACCTTGTCTAAAAAAGAAAGAGCATCATTAGAAGATCCGCCCCAGATATGGCAACAGTATTCCATGCAAGGCCGGATTTGAGATTTATAGAGATAGAGAATAGAATCCAGAGTAAGAAAGTGACAAGCTCGATAAAGAGAAGCAACTTTAGCAGATGCTAATTTTGCAACGGATTTGATATAAGGTTTCCAAGAAAGATCAGAAGTAAGAGTTAATCCTAGAAGATGAAGGGTAGGAGACTGATCAAGTACATTACTGTTCATAAATATAGGAAGGTCTAAATTATTGCGATAACGATTGGCCGAAAAAAATTAAGTTTTGTCTGAATTAAAGTTTACCAGCCACTGTGAGCCCCATGCTGTTGCAGAAGTGAGATCCTTCTCAACTCAGATGCCCCCAATCAAGCAATCAGAGGGAGTTGGCTTCTTATCGTGACAAGAATAAATGGCAGTATCATCAGCACCACATAGAATGCCACCTTAGATGTGAAAATATCTGGAAGATCGTTAATGTAAATTAAAAAGAGTATAAGGCCAAGGATTGAACCTTGGGGAACCCCTGAGGTTACAGAATAAGAAGAAGAGTGCTGTCCATCAAGGACAACTTTTATACTACGATTGGAAAGATATGGATTTTGATCGAGAAGATCAAAATCCATATTGATGATTAGAAAGTAGGTTATGAGATTCGAGATAAGAGATTAAGTGTTTGTTAATTAAAGATTCAAAAACCTTGCTTATGATTGGAAGAAGACTAATGGGACAGTAGTTAGATGAATCAGATCGCTCTCCAGAATTTTTAAAAATAAGGATAACAGATGCTGCTTTCCAGCAGGCTGGAAAACAAGACTCTGATAAGCACTTGTTAAATAGTTTTGAAAAGATAGACGACAGCTCCGGAGAACACTTCTGCAAGACTATAACATGTATGTTGTCCGGGCCACAAGCTGTAGAAGAGTCTAAGCGGGAAATCACTTTAGATACAGAAGCTGGAGTGATGCGAATGTCGAGCAGTGGATCAACCTGTTTGATAGCTATATCAGGTAGAACCCAACTAGTGGCATCAAGAGATGATATTGATGAAAAGTTCTTGGCAAACAATTCAGCTTTGTCTTTAGGTGAGGTGACAAAGTCTGAACCATACAAAAGAGTTGGAATTACAGACTTGCCCTTATTATTGATACTATTAAAGATTCTCCAGAAGTCATGAGAGCCAAATTTTTGTGATGAAATACGAGATTTCATGATCTGAGAATAGCGGGCTTTGGTGTTAGACAAAACCTTTTTACAATGGTTCCTAGTAGTAATAAACAGACATCTGATTTCTGGAGAATTGTTTTGCTGATAGATATGGAAGTAATGGTTTCGATTGGCAATTGCAGCAGCACAATGTGAGGAAAACCATGGAGAAGAGGCTTGACCTGGAATTTTTGAGAGGGAACAAAGGATTCCATGCCAGCCTGAATCCACGAAGTTATGTAAGAAGCACATTTGTCAACAGGAAGACGAAAGATTTCTACCCAGGGGCCATCACGAAGAAAATCACAGAAAGAGTCCAAGTCAGCTTTAAGGTAGTTGTAAGATGTAAGATGATAGGGGGATTCTGATGGTAAAGAAGAATGAGATAATAGTTTTAGAGAGACCTAACCATGATCAGACGCACCTAAGGGTGAGTGTGAAGAAACTGAGCACTGACTAGGATCAGAAACAAGACATAAGTCGAGTAGAGAAGGTAAATGATTCGGGTTGTCTGGAAAGCAAGTTGGAAAGTTGACTATTTGAGTTAGGGATTGAGAAAGACAAAAGTTCCCAAGAAAGATTAGAAGTAAGAGTTAATCTTAGAAGATGAAGAGTAGATGACTCATCGATTACATTACTGTTCATAAATATAGGATGATCTAAATTATTGCATAACAATAATTTA